CAAAACCCAAAATATGAGGGGGCCGGAAATTAAGTACAGTGCTATAACAGGCTAATGGTAATAACAGATAAGGTTCTGTGGCTGCTCATTTCCAGGGCCTATTAGAGGGATGACCGGGGTAACAACAACAATAATTTTTATTGATTAGCCAGTTGGCTTTATCAAAAACAGACAGTGCAAGCACAACATACAACATACGTCTGGTCCTATTAAAATAGAATACAAATATATAAGAATTTGTCAACTTAAAACCAATGTAGCTTAGCCATAGATATATGCATCAACTATCCTTGTCTCCCCTACACTGCACCCCAATTTGATCTATGTACTCTGATCTCCTTTTAGCAGCTTTAAACAAATAAAGAGCAACTTGTGTTGTCAGAATGGGGTTAAAACCAGCCAGACCGGGGTAACAGGTAAGAGTGCAAGAGTATATTCAACACTGCTTGGGTTGGACTAGAACTGGTCATTCTCAGCTCTTCAACTTATCACTGTGTTTGCATTCCCTTCATACATTTACGTTCCTTTTCATTGGAAGATTAGCTGTATTTCAAAAGGCTTGACTAAAATGTTAAGTTACTGCAATGGCAAAAATGAGGGGAGTAAAGGAAACTTTCTTGGGTGAAGCAGAATTCTTGGAAGAGGCAATATCCACATACTTTGAGTAGCCTGGGCATAACACTGGAGTACAAATATATTAGTTTTTGTGAAAATGTTGTCACGCACCTCAATGACTTGATGGGAACCAAAAGAGAATTCTTGTGCAACCCTGAATGATTTTTTGGGTCCAGTAGGCTGATGTTCAGCCATTCCTATCAATGACCTAAGGGGTTCTTCTGCAAAGTGTTATATTCAAATAACTCACATATATTCTGGTGCACAATTCTCTCACAAGTGGTACCATGTCTTGGAATTACTCATCCATGGCTGAAGGTCATCCAGTTATATCAGTGGTTCTCAGTCTGTGGGTCCACGGGTGTTTTGACTTACAACTCATAAATTCCAGCCAGCAACTGTTAGGATTTCTGGAAGTTGAAGGCCAAAACATCTGGAGACCCATAGGTTGAGAATCACTGACTTATATACACACATTTTAACAGAAAAGTGTCCATGAGGGACATGGCACTACTCTATAAGGGCTACTGAGTAAACATCTGCAGAAAAATTTGAAAATAAACAAAGGATGTCTATCTTGAAAGGCTTGTTATGAAATGTTATTACCTGCATTTTTAACAAGAGATCATTATTTGACTAACAAGTAGCTCTGTTTAGTCTTTTGAAAAGAGCTGACACCTGCTCTAGAGGGCTACACTTTCAACCAAAACTGGATTCCAAAGGTCAAAAACCATAGGCCAGTTTAGATTTAACTCATAGTTGGAAACCTGCAATGCAACAAATAGTATTAATGAACCTAAACAGTTTTTTTCCCCCAGAGGCACAATCTCTTGAAAATGGACCACATTAAAAATAGAACTTTTGTGAAGATATGATCTGATTTTTCAAGATGAAGACAAAGAGTTTCTTTCTGTAAGCTGTATAGAGGTTAGGCATGCCCATTTTGGTGACAATAAACTATAAGTCAGTTGGTGTTTGGAGGAGGATAGCCTCAGCTTTTGTTTAGTTTTGGACAAAATGTCCATGTATTTAAAGTGCCTGTTTACAATAAGGGATTCTATAGTGATCTAACTTGATTTTACAATCCTTTTAAAGAAACAATGCCAGTTGTTTCCCCTAGTCAAAAGTTGACTGGAAATGAAGAAGCTTTCAAGAACAACTCAATGATTACATTGCAGATTAACACTATATTTTCTGTTCTTCTTGACTCCTATGTCCTTCAGTTGTTTAGAGGACATCCAAGTTCCTGTTCTAACTATGACCTTAACATAAGCCAGTGGTTTCCCATCTCATCTTCCCCTTGATGGTGTTAGACTGAGACTTCCAGCAACAGCTGACAATTGACAGGAGTGATGGAAATAGTAATCTATGTGAGGACACAAGGGCGAGAAATCACTGCCATTGACTGCAACTTCATCCCAATTCTCTGAGTATACTATTTGGAAAATGTTTTAAGTTTTTCTTATCAAAGCAGCAGAGTAAAGGTTTCATTTCTTGTCTCTTAATGTCTCTCATATTTTTCCCAGAATTTATCATTACTTAACCTGTAACTATTTTCATCTCCATAAACCTAGGCTTGACCATTCTTCTGGAGTTAGAAACAAAAAAGATTAGTAAGGCTTGGCTTTTTGGGCTCTTCTGATTGGATATTTGAAGGTTTTGGGTCACAGCATACCACAGAATTATGGTAACAAATGACCGGAGATATCATTTATCCTCAGGCATGAATAAGTGAGACCACTGATATAGGTTCTGCAGTCATGTATCAAATATGATACATGTATGGCCAGCCAGTTCAGAAAGTGCATTTTATGTTCTCAAAGTAACACAGTAGCTTTCAATCTGTAAATTATGCAAACACTGCATTTTTTCTTTATACTTCTGGAAATTTCAGTTTTATCAGGTTTCAGAAATTCCAGAAATTTTATGTTTCTATTCCCAAAAGTCTTTAATAGCTGTGGTTCACCCATTAAATAGGTCACAGCTCATCCCTATATGCAATTTGGAATCTGTAAACAAAAACAAACAAAAAACCAGCAGCTTATTTGATTTGATGTGTTTATATGATAGAGCAATTTGTATCTCCATTTTTATTTGTAGCTATATTGAAGGAATAGGGAAAATTCAATAGATAAAATGTGATGGAGATTCATAAAATCTAGTAAAGCAAACCATTACTGACCTTTAATGCTTTATCTTAAAATAGAAAATTTGAGGTGATCATGAGCTGACATAATTTGAATCTGTTTCACAGGCCTGTTTTACATACAATCTATTTCCTACACTATGGTGCTGCTGTGTAGGATATAATATGGTGGAAGAGGAGTAAAACCATCTTGATACGCACCATGTTCACCAGCTGCCAATTAAAGACTGTAGGTTAAATGCTTACTGTAAATACATTTTTATGTCATGTGTAGCTTTGCCAGCAAAAGCAGTGATCTATATACAATTATGTCCACTCCACCTTTGCAGTCAAAGGTTAACTTCATGCCACCTACTACTTCGACTGTCATTGCAGCTGTTACTCACAGTGAAAATGTACTTTCACTTATTTTGCAAGCAATGAAAAGCTCTAGAGGCTCATGGGTTTGTTATAGTAAGAAAAACAGCTTGCCTTGCTTTGCAAGGAGTGCACTTTGGAATGTAACTCTGTGTGCTTCACTTGCAGAATATGACCTTTCCATTTATACATACCTTTTAAAAGTACTTATGGTCTTCGGGGTGCAAAGAAGTGAACCTTCTCAAATTACATTCCAACCTATCTCACCAGCTCATTTTTAAAATAGAAAGTTAAGATTAACTGAGATTTAATTGAAATGAAAGGAAATGGAGATAAACAGACACACAGAGTACTTATTGTATCAGCTGTGTGCAGATATGTAGACAATATATGGTACACTAAATCCAACAGGAATTAAGAAGAAACATGTTGAGAAGAGAACAACTTTGGGAAGGAGTCATTCAGTGTCATTTCTGATGTCAAGTAAGAGATAAATCTTGTGAATAATCTTATTATTTCCATATTAACTGGAATAATTGTAAGTTAAAACTCAAGAGTCTTGTCTCGGACAAGGGCTCCACATGAGCAGAATGTATCTAGCTCTCCAAATAACATGCTGATGCTTCCCTTAATCAAAGTGCCCGACATACATAGCTTTAGTTTCTGCAAACTAAGAAGGGGTGAGGGGTTTTAAGAGAGGCAGGAACTGTCATTTCAGTATCCTTTTCATGCTTATTATAAATGTCAGAAACCCAAGATGCAGGAAATGTTTCCAGAGATAGCAAGCAGGGCAAAAGTGAAAGGGAGAACAAGCTGATGTGTTCAACAAAGATAATGACCATTCTGAAGACATCTGAGTCACTCAGAATTGCAAGCTTCACACATCAGAGGACACAGTAATCGAGAGTATGTGATGAGTTCATCAATACCAAGGTGCTCCTAGTGTTCTTGTCATACTTCATTCCTGTTTTGTCCCACAGTTTTCTGGGGAAAAATTGTGTGTTTCTAGGCATGTGCGATTCTTCTTCATGAAATATTGGTTGAAGATTTTACCTATATAATGTAGAAACAATGATTTCACAGGATTACAACATTAAGAAATTGGGATAGCTAGTGGCTTTTGTGTAAGTGAAGCAGTGGATTACCCCCCTCCCCCTCAATTCAGGCCTTGATCAAAATTTAAAGCAGTATTTATCTCACTCTTGGGACATCTAAACATTTTGGTCTTCGATTCCCAGAATTCCCTGACATTGGCCATACTGACTGAGATGTTGGAGAGATGATGTCCAAATTATCTGGAGGGCAAAAGGTTGAGATCCACAGCTCTGCAGGCTTGAGCAAGTTTTTGAATTTTATTCCCAAAACAGTTTCAGTACCTTGTATACATCAGTCAAATCTGCAATGATTTCACTGCCCAGTGACATGAAGCTACCAACTGGATTAATAAATCTAGTTCAGAGTGAAGGAGAGCCAAAGTCCCAGTGAAAGATGATCCAGTATCCCATCTGGTAATTTATAAGACATCTAAGTAAATGAGTGCATGGCTTTAATGGTAGGTTTATTGGGTAAAATCCAGCCTTAGTCATGCTTAGAGCAAATCCACTAAAATTCGTGGGAGATGGGTTAGTTAAATTAAATACAACACTAAATTTGATTAATTTAAATTAAACCAATTTAATGAACTTATTTTAAAATTGAATTGAATTAAACTATAGTAAATATCATTTATTTTAATGGGATCTAGGTATGACTAGGTCTGGAAATGTCTATTAGAAAAATGACATTTTAAAAAGCTGTAATTATCAATGAAGAAGGGCAGGAAAATGACAAGGTGCAGTGTTGAAAGACTAATTGTGCGTAAGTTTGAACAAAAAGATAATACCTCATGAAGCGGAGTACAAACAAGGACAGATCCAGGGGTGCCGCTTGGACTGCACTCCTCTTGCTGTAAGAGTATCAAATTAAAGGATCTGGATTATGAAATTTCTTCTACATTTTATACAGTAATAAAAAATCAAGCTGCTGTGGTATTTTTGTCAGCAGTTCAGGACTAAGAGCCTCACTGGAAATACATCATGAGCAAACTGTAAATCAAGCAGATTTTAATTGCATGCAGCTAAAGTCATTTGCATATTATTTTCAGGAGTGAGTCAGATACCAAGCTAAACTTGGTAGACCTGCTGCATTTCTTCTGCACCTGCAGTGCTCCTATACCCAAAATGTGAGGCTTCAAATCCAAAAAGAAAGAAGAAAAAATTGATAAAACCATATTCTGTCTTTCCCTCTACTGGCATTTTTACCTTTAACATTTTGAATTCCCTTCTTAAAATCATGAGAGCTGGAGGCTTGCTTTTATTTTTTTATGAAAGGGTGGTTTTTCAGGCTTCAAGCATGTAACCTCACATAGTGGGGAACAATCCTAATTGTGGGGGTGCTGACAGACAAGACATCTCCTGGGTGAAATCTAAAGTTTTAGAGCGAAGTGAGAAGAATGTAAGCAGTGTTTGCTTCAGGCTATATATTGCACAACCTGTCTTCTTTCTGAAACAGATCATGGGAGGGCAAAAGCCATATTTTCAGATAGTCTGCAGATCAGCTCCCATTAACCCTTGCAAACATTGTCTAATGGTTGGGGATTGTGGAAGGGGAAGTCCAAAAGACCTGATTTTGCTTGGATGGGATTTTACAAGAGGATGCCAATACTGCACGCTTCTGTGGATTACTTCTTTTTGTACAATCATGCCATTTCACAGTGTGCTACTGCACAACATCTCAGGACAAGTTACTGAGTTAGTTGTCTAAAAATAGGTTTTAGACAACTATTTACCAGATTGGCTGAAGGACCATGAAGTTTAATTAATTAATTAATTAAGTTAATAACATGATGAAAATGGGACCCAGGATAGCCCGTAACATATATTAAAATATGCAACCACCTCTATCATAATAAAACAGTAAAAATATCAAATAAGTCAATTTAAAAATATCACTGCTTTAAACAATTAAAAATCCTGCCACCTATAAGAGGATGCTACTGCAGCAACCACTTACTAGCCAAAATCCTAAGCAAAAAAGGTCTTTGTCGACAGATGAAGAGCAGGCAGGGATCCAAAGTTACTGAAGGGAATTCCACACCCTGGGAACAGCCACTTCTCACATGTCCCCATCATAAATTGGCCAGAAATATATAATGTCGTATTTCCAAGTTCTGGCAGTACTGCTGCACCTTTGCTTACTACTGACCTTAAATACAACTTTCTGGGCCCCCATGCTCCAAACGAGAGAAAGGAAGAAAAACCAGGGAGCCAAAGGGAGGAGTGAGATACACTACCATTTCCGCCTTCTCTCCTCTCAAAGTAGTGAAGACTGCAGGGACGACTAGGAGAACCATTTGAGAGGAATTCATTGGGACTTCCAATCAGAAGCTATTTGAAATGGAAGAGGGTAGTGAGATTATGCCAATGCTGTGATGCCACAAGGCAACTTGATAATATGAGGAAGAAGGTTTTTTCTTCATTCAGAACACGCCTTCAAAAGTTTCTTCTTTGGACTATAGGTCCCAGAATCTGCCTAATAAATTCCAGAAGATAACCATTCCAGAGAAACATTCCAGAGAAAACAAAAAATGTGTTTTGGCACCAGAAAAGTCATGTTAGTTTTTCAGGTGTTACAAATCTTTTTCTTAGAAGTTCAGTCAAGTTTGTTCCTTATTTTAAAATTTAAAATGTAATTAGTGTCTGGAGTAGTGTACCACAATTTTATGAAAGCTATGACCATATATAGCTTCAAAGTGGGACTATTCAAATGTATGAATGGCAAGTCAATAAATGGCCAAGATGACAAAATGTCATGGTTCGGCTGGATTCAGAAATGGTATTTCTTTGAATGTCAGATTCTGGCATAATGCAAAGAGCAGTAGCCATTTGCTGACTTCATGCTTCTTGCTGTATGCTTCTCAGAAAAAAAATCCAAATCCAACTGACCAGTCTTGGTCAACAAAAATTAATGAAACCAACCACTAAAACAGGAAGTTGACTGAGATGTACTCATATTCCCTTCCCAATATTTTTCTTATGATCTTACATTATTTCACTATAAGGGGATATTATAACCATCAATGGGACAGTGTAGCTCCCTATTTTTTGTGAAGTCTGAAATTCTGATCTAGAATATTGTTCATATAAAAGGCCTACACAAACGGTGGGACAAGAAGTAGAACACCCTTCATATCTTGAAAATATTATTTTTGAACTACAATTCCCAGAAGCCCTCAACTCTGCCTAAAAAGTAACTCCCACAGCTTTAAAAACCACCTGGAAAGGGAAATTATTCCTTTTTCAGTAGAACCGCCAAATGTATTTCAGTGGGACACACTGACAACTAATTCTACTCCTATTTAAACAATCCCTTCTAACTATATCAACAGTTATTTCTATCCCACCCTGAGTCCTCTCGGGGAGAGAGGGCAGGATAGAAATAAAATTGTTTATTATTATTATTATTATTATTATTATTATTATTATTATTATATTGTACAGCAGCTAGACTATGAGACTGGGACTTTGAGGAGACAAGTCCTCACACAGTATGAAAACTCACTGGATTACATTGGGTTAGTCATTCTTTCTTAATCTAGAATAGCTCACAAAACTATTGTAAGGAAAAAATAGGGACGGCAAGCGTCATGTATGCTTTTAGTGAGTAAGCCTGCTGTTAGGCAGGTGAGTTTTAGAATCCCTGTTAGCTGATGACCAATACAATGAAAGCATACATTTGTATTAGTGACCTTGCTAGATAATTTTTGCATTATCTTGCAGTTTTTGCCTGAGAAAAGATATGAAGGCTGAGACTGAGGTTGCTAACCCACTGGCACTGTTCTCACAGCTACTGAGAGGAGATGGAGCACACTTGTGCACTTTCATTTTCTTTGTTTGCTTCTCCACTGTGTAAATCCATCTTCCATTTGCATCAGCCTGGGAGGGAATACATGCCTATGTCTAGTGATACAAATTTGGTTTGATAGTCAGCAGAAGAGATAGCTCAAGGTAAGACTTGTGTGGGGGCTTAGCTCTGCCATTGGCTGTGAAGGGTGCTGGACTCCATCAGCAAAACAGTGGGCATGCTTCTCTACTTTGTACTATCTGCTGCATAATTTATCATCAGTAAAGCATATGCTATACCAGTAACATGTGCCGGATCGAGACAATGCTGTTGAATTTAGTGCAGGAAAGGTAGAATTTAAATGTAACTAACCAATAAAGTCCTCCTTAGCTTCTCCACAATATCAGAGTGTGACAAAGAGCCAGCAATTCCTGATGTATTTCAGCTTCTCTCTTTCTTTGTTCTCATGATTTGAGCTTACAATCAGATAGCTTACTATGTCAAATTGTCATGACTGTATACAATATGATAAACCTGTTACTCTGAAATAAGTTGAGTTCCCCTGAAATCCCAGGATTTGATATATTAAAACACATTTTCAGGCTTCTGAAATAATCTGCTCTTGCATTCAAGAATGAAATAAGCAAAGATTTACCTCCCTGCCAAAAAAGACGAGGTACGGCCCCCTTCCGTTGCACTACAGACATCCTCTAACCCCAGAAAATGACTGTATTTTTGGTCACCCACCTCTGTCCAGTTCTGTTGTGAAAATTTCATTCTGTTCTAGCAAAATTAAAGTGAATTTTAGAAGCAAAACCAACTACATTACCCATGAGCTCAGATACAAAAGAGTATATTTGCAACTTTATTGCTGAATTGTTACCTGTCAACTTTCTTGGCCATGGGTAAAGCTTCAGTACCCAGAAGCAGAGGTGTATACTTAAAACCAGAGCTTGAAAACTTCCAAATGCTCCCAGTGGCACTGCAGTTGGGACATTATAGATGTTCTGGTCCCCAAAAAGTATCATTTACAAACTTTGGTTAAAACATGGTCTTCTTATCCCATTAGATACTTGGAAAACAGGAAGCAGCTTCCCTCTTAATAGCTTTGTTGTTGCAGTGAAAGGATAGTATCATCAACAAACTTTGACATTCTGCCTGCATTTGGTACTCCTAAATCTTTCTTAAATAAATGACCTGCTACCAAAGTTATCAAACATTTAAACAGACATTAAGATTTGCATTTACCATTTTCTTTTTCAGAATTCTTCTTTGCTTCTCTCATCATCAAACTGCACATGTTTTTCCAAATATTTTGCTATATCCAACCTACTTCCACCCTTCAACTGACCTCATTTAGGAAACACATGTTATGCACACCTTACATTACAGCAGTTTTAAATCGATCTTAAGAGAGAGATCTGAGTTTCCTTATTGTCCTTCAGTTTGCTTTTACAACCTCCTCATTGGAAGGAATTTTTCCTTTTGAAATTAAATGTGATTGTGTTGGGCATTCCATTTTCCACTTACAGATACAGATTGAATTAGACAGTCTTGTGGGCGCTGTTCCCAGCATTTCAGTAACACATTTCAAACTAGATCTTGAACATCAATCAGAATTAAAACAAGATGGTTTTATTATGGAACTCTCATTGATGGTTCCATAATGAAGGCAAATCTTTTTCTTTGTCTAGAAATTCTGACTTATACATTTAGTAAACACTCAGCATAAAAACTACCATTATGTCTACTTCGAGAAAAAAAACACCTTAGAAAGCAGAAAGAAAACCCAAAATTGTAATATTTTCTCACCTTTAGTGTTTGGTATTGATAAATGGAATCAGTGTCGATGAAATAGGCAGATCCCTCCCCCCCTCTTTTTTGGAATGTCTGAGGGATATGGTTCTATGAAAAAATAATAATAATATTGAGTTAACTAATTAAAATATTAAGTCATTAATAATCATATTTAGTTAAAATAAACAAATAAGATCTCAAAGTGATGGAAAATTTTAGCAGTGAAATAAAACAATGGTATCTTTTCATGTACACATGTATAAATCTCCAATCCTTTACATTAATGATGGGGAACTTGTGGTCCACCAGGTTTTGTTGGGTTCTAAATGCCATAAGATCCATCCATTATGGCCAAAAGTGATGAGGACTGCATTACAACAGGAGGGCCACAGACTTATATGGTCTAATGGGAAAATGTAGTATGGATCTTGATCTGAGGACAAGCTGTACTGTAAGCCAACATAAACCACAGAAACAGGGAAAAATTGTAACTGTGGGATTTGATCCAATTTTCCATATGTTTCAATTCTTTTCTCTCTTTACTCCTTTTCAATGCACTCGTTATTTGTTATGACAGGCTAGATCAGATAGTGCCATTTTTAAGAGGCATCACTTCCTCACAGGCCTTATGGTTGCTTACATATCTCTGCAGGTGCCTTAGTGGTGATTATGCCTGCACTTTTAAAAGTTGCATCTCATCAATTCATCAACAGTGAACATTTTATGTCTTGAAGAGAAATCTAGAAAACACAGCTAGACAGGAAAAGATTGCAACAAGATAACCTTTTTGCACCTATGTGGTGATTTTGTCTTCTGAATATATATCATTTTTATGTTTTCAAGCAATGTCATGGTGGTGAATAGGTTGACTTTCTAGTGATCTTATACTAATCTAATTTATAACTGAGAATATATCTGACAGCATGTCTTCTTTTCCTTTGTTTAGATCCTTCTAGATTTCTTTATACATTTGGCCAAGTTGTATGAATCACTGCTATTCAAAAGCCTTTCCATTCTTTTTGCTCTAATGTGGACGTTATGGAAGATGCTCTAACTGTAGCCTGATATATTGCTGGGGAAAAGTAGTTTTCTGGCCACACTGCTTGCATGATTCTAGGGGTTTAGGAGGAAAAAGTAACCTTCAAAAGCTCTGGGTACAACACATTTTAAAGTCCCAGGTTCAATCCATAAGGTTTTCAATTAAACATGAAGGAAGAAAATAGAAAACTATTCACAATACTACAGAGAGCAGATACTGAGCAGAACAGAGAACTCTGGACTCAAAGGACCAACAGATTCATAGATTTTATACTTGGTTACAGGACACTTAGTGTTTCTATAACTTTAGGCAAGTAGGCCTGAACTTCAAATGGTCTCTCACTATTTCGAGATGAGAACCGACATTTATGATCTATGTACACATTATAGAATTTTCAGAAAACCAAATCTAATTTCATTTTCAGATGGTAGTCATTTGTCCAGGTTTCTACTAGTTCCCTATGTCTTTAAGGGATGCACAATTTAATTCGCCAGTGTAGTCAATGCTGATTGCTTAAGGTAAAGGTAAAGGTAAAGTTAGTCCCTTGACATTAAGTCCAGTCATGTCTGACTCCGGGGTGTGGTGCTCATCTCCATTTCTAAGCCGAAGAGCCAGCGTTGTCCATAGACACCTCCAAGGTCATATGGCCGGCATGACTGCATGGAGTGCCGTTACCTTCCCGCCGGAGCGGTACCTATTGATCTACTCACATTTGCATGTTTTCGAACTGCTAAGTTGGCAGAAGCTAGGGCTGACAGCGGAAGCTCACGCCGCTCCCCCGAATCGAACCTGCGACCTTTCGATCAGCAAGCTCAGCAGCTCAGTGCTTTAACCCACTGTGCCACCGGGGGCTCCTGCTGATTGCTTAACCTGGCATTATTCGATTCATTCTCTTGCAGGAAAACATAAAGGGATTATGGCCTGACTCCAAAATCAAAGAAAATCGGAGTATTTGAAATGAAACTGATTTGTAAATGAGAGCTATATAGTTAATTGCTATGTTTCCCTCAGCCTGACATATACTTATTCAGAGGTAAACAAACACACCATGCATAACCAGGTTTTTTTCCCCCAGTAAGTGTGCAAAAGATCACAGACTTTAGCTGCAATGCCAAGAGAATCAATCCCACAAGAATTATCAGTGAGATTTACTTTCACCTAAATGGGTTCAGGTTTGATCTGTCAGGATGAGTTGGGACACTGTGTATAATTCACATCAATCAAAATAAGTCAAGTTTGTGAGCTGCTGCTAGGATGGGTGTGTGTGTGTCTATCATCTATCTATCTATCTATCTATCTATCTATCTATCTATCTATCTATCTATCTATCTCTGGTCCTCTTGGCCCTATCTCAATAGTCTTTGTGTCAAAGGAAAGGAAAGCCATTATTGACAAGCACGGTATGAAAACCATGACACTTGTCATTATGCCCTGCCAAAAAATTACAACTGCAAACTGCAGTTCTCTTTCCTTTCCCTTGTCCCACTTACTGTTTCTAATCAAAGAAGTATAATGCAGTACTGTGGGGATTCGATGGTATGAATACTTCTTTCTTCTTCCTTGTTTTGCCTGGGGTCAAAAAGCCCAGAATAGCACTGCATTCACCAAAAAGAAATGTCCATTGTAAAGTTATGGAATGGTCAGTGGGGACTGTAAAGTACAATAATTAAGGAAGAACAAAACACGGTGGGCAGCAGGCGCAAGAAGCAGGTAGGAAGCTGGAGAAGATGTGCAAGAGCTGGATAATGTTTCTTTAAAGGGTAAAGAACAATTACTATATTACAAAATTGCTGCCTTTTAATCAAGAAATTATGTAAACCACTTGTAGGATACATTGGGCAAATGTCATTAAAGCTACAAGACCTGGTGGACAAGGTAGGGCTCTAGATATAACGTCACTCATTTTAAGGGAGGTTTTGCTCTACACCAGGTGTGGCAAAGTGTTTGCCTTCCCAATATTTTAGATGCCAGCTCCTGGACATGACAGCCAGCATGAACAACAGTAAGGGATTATGGAGGTTAATATCCGAATCATCTAAAGGGTTTCAGGTTCTCCATTTCTGTTGAATGTAATATATCTGCCTCCCCTTCCTCACTGATATCTGGGCAGACTGCCATGTTTGCTAGCTTGTGTTCTGCAATACGAGAAAGTTGCAGAACATTTATGGGTTTGCTGATTTGATTATTCAATGGATTTGTTTAAATTGTTCCCTCTAGACATTTCTAAGATCTTCTGCATGATTCTATCTATCTGTGATCTGTGATTCACACTAGTAGACCTAGAGATTCCTAGATAAAACACCTCTAGGAATCTCTAGGTCCTCCAGCGCAATTCTCTTTCATAAAATCATGCTGAAGGACCTAAAATTGCTAGAGATATGTTCTCCCATGGGGGTGTTGTGCCCCTGACCCCAGTAAAATGTGGGGATGGAGCTGATTGTACTCTCTCTGTAACTGCCCAGGACTGAGGCTAGAGATGTTACTTCTGCAATACAATTCCCAACTCCTTCTCACTCCTGGCAGTGGCTATAAATTGCAACACTATTGAAGAATAATCAAAATGATGCTCACCACTGGTTGTAATGGTGCACCAGGCATCATGGCATTGGCTAGTTGCATTTGCTGGGCCAGCATGGCCATGTTCTTCTGCTGAATCAGGTTATTGCGTCCATTGATTTCCAACTGTGTTTTTAAGTGTGGTGGTGGGTGAAGATATTTGCAGTTCTCCCTTGAACATCGCCCCTGAAACACAGCAAAATTGAACAAAAACAATGAGTTCTGCCAGTTATGAATTCATACATTTCATCATTCTGTTGAACTACTTCAATTCCATTTATCAAGTTGTTATTGTTGTTTCTGTTTTGTGTCTTCGCCGTTGTTTATGGTGACCTTAAGGTGAACTTACCTAAGGCTGAAACCACTACATCATGCTGTCTCTCAGATTTATCAAATACCACTGTGATTTCAGCAAAGCTTTCTGAGACTGCACCTTCTTAATGTTTTATTTGTGTACACTGATTTTAATGGCATCTCTGTACAATCTACCACAACTAATTGCTTTCCAGATTCATGTTAACTAATGTTGAAACTTAGCAATGCTAGGGGAAAAAGTAGAATACTGGTGTTGATCCTTGTCACCTAACCCCTAAAGCTACCTAAACCCAGGAGTAGCAAGGAAGTGGATGCAAAACATTCAACTAGATATTTGCTCATTGTTGCTTATTACCTGATACATGAGGGTGGGATGCAGGTGGGGACATACATGGGTATAATATTTTGGCTTCTGAGGGTCTCCAAAGCTTGTCACAATGTGGAACTGGACCTCACACATAAGAACTGAAAAGGGGTCACTGTCACAGGTTACAAATAGTAATTTGTTACAAAGGCAGCTTGCAGTGCAACAAACCTGCCAAATTGTGCTTTTCTGTGTTCACATCTCCATGCTTTAGTATAAGCCCAGTAGGAAAATAAAAGATCATAACATTATGATTCAATACTTAGTAGTACAGTGTTGTCCCCTATGGCCCCATGAACATGCATGCCCCAGGTGGAGACATAAAAGTAGGCTGAACCCATGGCCTTGTGATAAGCAGAGCTGAGTGAATCTGTCTGGTCTCTGAGGTAAGCACACCCTGAGCTTGAGGAACAAGCTGAGGCTGAAAAAAATTAATGTTTTCAGTGATCACAGTTAAATAGGCAACAGTGGCATCCATTTATCCAGGGACACATTAAAAACAAAGATATAAAGAGACAAAAATTTCATCTTGGCAGAACAAATGGCTTAATCAAAATGGTTCCAATTCTCTTTTTCTCCTTATAATCAATCTAAGAAGTGGCAATGGGCATGAAAACCAGAACTTTAATTTCGGCTCAAGGCTGCTTCGATCTAACTTTGCTCTGCTCAGGTTTGTTTTCATGTTTATTTTGTAAGAACAAATTATGCTGTGCTTTTGCAGAGAAAGCTACAAAGCCTGTGTTTGTTAGGGGTCTGCCAGTGATTCAACCTGAAACTCTCTTGTGTCAGAGGGAATGGTTTATAACTACCCATCTGTCTCTGCTCGTCAGCCAAATACATATGACTCTCATTTTTGTAGCTAGTTCATTGTTATTTGCATAACACAGTATGTGTGATAATGGGATTTTACATAATTCTTGAGGTTGAGGTTAAGTAATACCAGTAGAACAGTCAATCAAAATAACTGTGTTGACATGGCTTTCAAAACATGTGCTTGCAATTACAACGAAAACCCTGGCGTGTATATATGTGTGAGGACCTCCAAAATGTGTCAGAATTATGAAAAAATACATGATAGTAAGAGACAAAGGATGTTTGCATTGCAATACATAGTAAGATCACATATAAAGGAGGCAATTGGGCATTTAAATAAAAAGGATTAAACTGAAGGGGAGAAATAATCAATAATAATAAAACGTTATTTGTATACTGCTCTGTCTCTCTGAGGGGACTCAGGGCAGTTTCCAGCATAGGTAAAAGCATTCAATTACCAACACAAAATCATACAGAATAACCATTATAAAATATAATACTATTAAAACAGCCATGCATATTTAAAATTAAGAGTCAGTTCCAATACTATTCCATTGGGCAAAGTTTGACTATCAATGGCTAGAATTTCAGAAGTGGGCCTAGACAACTGTGAGAAGGCTGGGCTAGTGCAATGAAGTAGCATGGGGCTGGGGCAGTTATAAGAGGGCTGGGCCAACGGGGAAAGTGTAGGGCTGGGGAAGTGGGTAAAGTGCAGAGTAGGGTCCTAACTGATTGCAAAGATAGGGCCTGGGGCTACTCATTTCCAGTGTTGTATAGTGTGAGAGAGACATTAATTTCTTTGCACTTTGATACAACTTTAATTGCACTAGCTTCATCCTGGGGAATCCTGGTATGTGTAGCTTCATGAGGCTACTTTGGGTTCCATTTAGATGAGGAAAGTGGAATGACAACAATGATGAAGATGATGAAGATGATGATGATGATAATAATAGGTTTAAAATTCTCTGCAAATCTCAGATTTTTATGTGATATAGCCAGGAGTGGTACAGTGCTATCAAAGCACTGTACATCTGTAATGTGAAAAAGATATTATTACATTGTAATAATTTCCATTCGTAAAACTGCTTGAGGGGAGAGGAACACTATATAAATAAAAAAAAATGAGGATGATGACAGCCAGCATATTTTAGGCTGACCTAAGACCCCGAAGACCATGGTTCAAACCACTACTTTCCATATACTTTAATTAAGAATCTTGGATATGGGACTCAAGTCCAAATACAAAATTCATTATGTTTCATACATAACTTGTAAACTTAATGCTTGTGTATGAACAAAGTTTGTGTATATTGAAATATCAGAAAATAAAGGTATCACTTTCTCAGCTATCTATGTGGACCATTTTGGATTTCTGGATATAGGATACTCAACAAGTAGCAATTACTCAGAGTCTTTTGTTACTGGGTTGTTTTAAAGAAACCATTTTCTTTCCCAATGTGCATTGTTAGCCTATTTAAATCAATGCATATCTCTGGTGGGAAGTGGATTTTCCCCAGAATGCATCCACTTTGGCACAAAATCTATGAAAACCCTGAACTGTTCCTCCAGCAGCAATAAAGGATGGCCTAATTAGCTAAATATAACATTGCAATAAGACAGTAACAAACTGAACACATATACAGGTTGATCCTGAAGAGATAGTATATGTTTTAGACCAGTAAATTGAAATAATCTTTCAACAAGAAACTAATTGGCAAGATTCTCGGTAAAAGGTTGATTTTGACTAACAACAGTGCCAATGATACAACCCTGTACACTGTATAATGGTAAAGCCATGTTGTACTTGCCATCCCCCCCTTCCCAAATACTTGTAGCAGCTGAACCATTTAGCTCCACTTAGAGGATAAAGCTTTGAAAAGTTACTTTTTGGACTATTACTTCCTAAATTCCCATTCCAGCAAGACCAGTGGTTGCAGTGTAGTAAGATTTTTAAAAATATAATTACAAAGAAAAAAGATGAAAGTAGATAATATATAAGGTATAAACATGGGCTAGGCATATTCATTAACATAAGCTCACCATATTCCCAAAATTCATGTTTTCTTCAATCTATAAACTACATGCCCATGAGCAGCTAAAGTCATGAGGTCTTCTGTTGATTGAACAATATTTGGAGAATGTTTGTCTTTAGTCTTGGAGCAGAAAGAAAGGCCAGGTATGCAACCATGTTAACCATAAGTTAAATTTCATGTAAGAGCAATATAATTACATGTTCCTACAAAGAACAAATAATTTTCCCATATGAAATCATACAATCAACACATTCATGTTACATGATATAGGGAAGCGTTATCAGTATTATTGTGACCAATCTCAGTTGAAGGCGACAGTTTCTTTCTAAGTAAGCATAATGGTGTCCAATATATAGCAAACGTGGATTTCTACTCAACCAAAACCAAATATTAAAGCTAAGGAAATTTTAGATAATGAGGCATGATCAGTTTTCCCTTGATTGACTAGAGCCATGTAAATAGCTTAAGCTCTCACCAGGTGACTTCCCTAGACTTAAGTGGAGATACCATGTATTGAACATTTTGAACAGAAACCATGTCCAATACCACTGAGTTTTGAACTTCCTCTCCTAGATCAACATAGCCATGTTTTCATTTATGAAAATACCTTTTACTGTAATAAAATAGAATAAAATTGCTGTAGCCTCTAAAGAATAAGGAGAGCAGCCAGGCACATCTCCATCATGCCTGGATCCTAGTATTTAGTGAGAGCTCCTCTCTCCATGCCTGAACTGCCATTAATGTGACCTCTAAAGTGGAACTGGAACAGCTAGGAACTGCTGGACTTAATCCTTCCCTTTTTATGTGTCATGTCTTATTCAGTTTATAGACCTGAGGGCAGGGAACTACTAAAGTAATTGTAAACTGTTCTGGAAAACTCTGTGGCTAAAGCAGTCTCAATAAATAAAAGTAATACTGAAAAAAATTGCTTGTTAGTTATGTAAATAATGTAGTAGATGCTGGAGGATTGTTAAGATATTTTGACCTACTATACCAGCATCCACTGGAGGGAGCTTGGGAACTGTAAAGTGACCATCTGAGATATTTTGTGTTATTTTCTCCCCAGTCAGGAAAGGTTTACAGTACTCCTGAAGTAGGCTGTAGAGCTATTTTTATTCTATGCATTTGGCATCCAAGGAAGGGGATTTTAGAAAAAGCATATCATATCCAATTAATCTGTTTTGAATGCTTTACTTTTGTACAATCTGAATTGAACCTTATGAGTATAATCCAGACAAAACTAAGTTGTTGGGTTGTTTTTTGGGTTTTTTTGGAATGTAATCCATTAATAATATGGATTATCTGTGAGCAAGTCACACTATGAATTTTGTTTTGAGTAGACCTGAATAGGATTGCACCCTCATTCTCCACTGCTTTAAGTTTTAAAGAATTCAGTTCATGGGAAATCATACTGCTGCAAAGCTCTGTTGAGAGAGGTGCAAATATCACATAACATGCAATTGTTGATTGAAAATATAGTGTAAATCACCAGCAAGTAATTGCAAGTGATTTGCTGAATTTACACTAGCACCACTATGATACTGAAATTCTAACTTTTTGAGGGAAAGAGTCTTCAAATGTGTTCATAGGAAGTCAAACCTGCCATAATGATGGGATAGTCATCTTTGGCTCAACGTCTGTATGAGCCACAGCAGTAGAGC